TGCACAAATAAAATAAAAGCTCAAAGCTCTGTCCACATGGCATCATTTTGATAACATTTCGGCAGCACTGACCCAGCATCTTTTACACAATAAACAGGAAATTTGTTATAAGATCAAACAGTGTCATCAGGAGTAGCTTGGCTTTTAATTAAAACAAGGAAATCATCACAAATCCACATCAGGGTAACCCGTCAACACTAATTCGATTCCCAGTTTTAAGGCAGTACTTCAAGATGAAAGCAACTCTGGTATTGGAAGGAAGCAAATTTGGCATTTTGCAGCCAGCACTGGAGTGCTCAAAACATGACAAAACACATCCCATTGGCGATGGACTCGGCTGCTCAGAATCACACCATTACAGTCAAAGAAAAGGTTGACAGAAGCACACAGTGGAAGCAAAGGTGTCTTGAGACTACAGAAAAATAGTGAATAATCTGTCCTTTAACTTCTCTCATCATACAGAAATTCAGAGAGAAGTGCTCCAGCTCACAGTTCTAGTTGTCTCTGGAAATAAACATTTGGTTTAATGACCTGTGGATCCAGCAGACATCTACAGGACATTGAATTTAGGGAATGTGACCTCTGATGATGGCCGTGACTTTTTTCAGTGTTTACCAACAGGAAGGCAGTAGGCAGCTGGCGTCTGCTGAGGGACACTAGTGCCGATGTGACCCACCGCCTGCCAGTTAGTTCTTAGTTACCAGGCTACACCACCCTCTACCACGGCGAGAGGAGCCAGTCTTGCCTTTGGTGCAGCGCTCTGCTTTTTCCCTGGGCTGCACCTCGGCCTCGGCCTCCGACTCGGAGTCGGACCAGGGGTGGCTCTCCTTCTGCACCGGCTTGAACTGCAGCACGGTCTGCTTCCCACTCTTGGATGCTGCGGGAGACCACCAGATTGAACACAGTTCACAGGACTTAGCCGTTCACCCTGGTCACCTAGAGGGACTGTTTGTAGCATCAAGCATATATTTCATGCCTGTTCTTTCTGATTAAAGACAAATCAATACATTGGTATTTGCTGAACTTTTGACTCCCCCACCTAATTTTGAAGAATGGGAAGAGAACCTGTCCCCCCCAGAAGATATATCTAGGTGTCCCTCTACATATAGATGCATTTTACAACATTATCCCTACTCATACTTTACTCCTAAAGCAGCACTGAACTATCGCTGTCAGCAATCTGGTTTTAACGTCACTGGAGGGGAATGGTCTCTACTTTAATGTTTCAAAGCTGAGAAGTTCAGAAAGTCAAGCCCAGCACTCAGAATTACCTGCTTTCTTGGCGGGCTCCTTCTTGGTTTTTTTAGACAGTCTCTGCGCCAGACTTATTTCTTCTGAGTTACATTCTCCATCCTCTCCTCCCTCCTCCTCAAACTCCATCTTCACCATAACCGCATCCTCACTCTGACGAAAAGAGCGAACAGGTGAGATTCTGGTAGCGCCGTGCGCGGAGTAAGGAGTTAAAGAGATGGTATGTGTCCGGAACTGTTTCACATTGAGGCTTCAGCAGCAGCACAACAACGCTGATAAATCCATTGTCACACCAAACTAGATTTGCAGAGGAAGAACTTCCAGAAAAACGGTTCCACCATTTTTTAGACACTTTTGAAGAAAATCAACATTTCGTGTTTTTCTACCCCCCAAAAAAGGTTTGCAACTACCATTTAAAATTGCATTACTTTCTTTCTGGTGATGTCTGGAATCAAACGTATTGTGCATCATGATAACTATACACAGTAGTCAATTTTAAAAGCATCAGGTTTTGACAGGGATACCAGATGTTTTATTTTCGCTTGTTTATTCGAGCGCCTTCTTGGACCTTTGCAAACTCAGCACTTGAAAAGTTGACACTGGGGTGTCTGCCTGTCTCACTGGCCCCAGCTGAGTCCAGCCCCTACCAGCCTACAGCACTGCACCATCACACCCAAACAGCTCAAACTGGCAGACTGCCTACTCAGTGTTCTCTTACTGGGGTCAGGATGGGTCTATAATGAAGCTCCTCCTGCAGAAACGATTTAGTCTAGTCATTTGATATGCCTTACAGAAAGTAATCAAACCTGTCTACTTTACCCCGCAGTGGAAAACATTTCTTAAACAAAAAGTCCTGAGGAGCACGAACAGAAAAGGGAAAGGAAACCTCCATTCTCAAAAGTTCACAATTCTTTCGTATTAACACTTTCGCTGCAGACAGGAGTACAAGCTGAAACACCGGGCCCACGGGTGGCCATCGGACCGGTCCATCTCGCGGTGGCGGATGACCGTCTGAAGGAAGCCCGCTACAAACCTTGAGTTTCTTGCCCTTCTTGGTGGCGTCCGCCTTTTTGTTGGCATCGGCCTTCATGGCGCTGGTGATGCGTGGCACGACGCGGCGGCCCTGGGGCGTGGGCCGGGTCTCCTCCTTCATCTTCACCAGCTTGGCCCTGCCCGTCTTCCCCTTGGTGGCCTTCACCTGCACAGCTGCGTCCTCCTGCTCCTTCTGCTCCACTTGCTGCGAAGGGCAGAGGGCGGGTGAGAGGCCGGACAGGCCAGCAAGAGCGACTCCGGTTCACACAGACAAGATCTCGTCCCAGCTCAGTTTACCCGACTTTCAGAATGCCACTTCACGTCTAGATGAGCTAATATGGGAAACAGTTGAATAACTGCCAATAAACTAAAACTTAAAAAAGGGAAACTATTAAGATACATCGGGATTGCTTTGCATTCGCCTTCAATTTAAGATGGAAAACCCGGTATGGCATGGATCTGAAAGCATATGGATTACAGATGAACTTCACAAGATGTACTTGATGGAATGAAAAGGCATTTGCAGCTCTCTCCAAACTCACATCCAACATCTCCACCAAGTTGGCCAAGTCCTGTTTCCAGAGGTCAGAAGGGCTCTTCTTCTTCAGTGTGTTCAGCTCATTGGTCTACAGAGAGAAGGGAAATGAAGTAACAGCACAAGAAACCTACAGGGCAGGAGAGGAAGGTGTAATGGGGTTTTCTAGACAACTTGACACTGCAGGCAGAAATACAAAACCTACTGAAAATATGCTTCTCAATTTAGGGGAGCACAGGGTGAGGAGAAGAGGGAAATAGGCTATAAATTGAGGAACAAGACCTCAAAAGAAGGATCTCACCTTGACATCTCTTTGCTTGCACAACTCCTCCTTCTTCTCTTTGGTCAGGAACCACATGGGCATGCTGAGCAAGTAGTTATAGTCCGGGCCAGACAACTGCTCTTCTGAAGTCTCCTCTTCCTCAGTGTCTTCCTCCTCAGACTTGGCGAAAGAGGCAGGGTAGACACTCGTTCAACGACATGGAGCCTGGCACTTCATCAGTTACACATTATAACTGCATCCTTATCGATACCTTCATATCTTGCATAAAAATCAGCAGTGAACTCTCATTCACAAGGGAATGTCAATCTTTAATCAATCGCCAAATGTTTGCATAAGAGCATAAAAATTGGAAATGAAGAACCATACAGCACTATAGAGAAAAGCCCAATTTTTATTGCTGGAAAGTGTGAAATGTAAGAAACACGAGTACCCACCTTTTCTTGGGCTTCTTTCCAAGCCTTCACAGGATCAGAGTCATAGCCCATCTCCTGCAGCATGCGAATCAACTCCTTCTTGGGCTTGTTCTCTGGGGGATGGAGAAATGGAAGTCATGCCCTCATTCAGTCACCATAACAGTTAAAACAAATCTGTACACCAGCCATGTAAAATCTAGTTGTGTGCTTGAAACTTTTTTTTTTAAAATTTAAACCATGCTTGCAGAAGTGGCACTGAGTGGTGTTGATGACTGAGTGGTCATAATTGAGGCTTGAGATGTTGAAGCTCTTGAGTGACTCAACCCATATAGGCATCAAGCTGTTATCCAGACATCACTAGGTTGAGCCTGGGGCATGTTATTATCAAGGTGCTGGAATTATTCAAGCAGCAGTGCCCAATTGGCAGAGTACTGTGTGGTGGGGTGGAATTTGTCAGGGTCTCTTAGCTACACAGCTGTTCCCAAGATAGTGAGCTTGGCATGATGCTCCATTCCCCCAACTGGTATCAACCTTCCAACATTACACACTGGGAAGGTTGCAACTTTTAAAATGTTGCATCTCTCCATCTCTCAAACAGGTACGGCTGAATAGCCAAGTCAAAACCAATTGCCAAATCCCCGTTTCTTGTGTAAAGAAATGCTAATAAAGAACTAGCAATGCAAAATCACACCACAGGATACCATAGTAATGGGTGAACTGGCCAAAGGGACTCACCGATGACCAGTTTGCCCTCAATCTTCTCTAGGATGAAGCGTGCCTGGTTGGAGAGCTTGGCACTCTCCGCCCCCAGCATGCCCAACAGCCAGTCCTTGCGCAACGTATAATACTTCAGTCGCAGCTCATAGAAGTCCTTCAATATGTCCTGAACAAAGTCATACTTCTTCAGGCTTCCAGTGTGGTCAAATAGAACCTGACAAAAAATGGACAGACGTCATTAACATTAACAGAACAGAAAAACAAAAACATCGTTGAACCTGCGCACACAAACATGATAGCACCATAACCAGGATCAGGTTCTGAATGGAAGGCACTGTAACCAGGCTAAAAAAAAACTAAGGATTGACCACAAAAAAAGAGAACTGATGAAAGGAGAATAACTGGAAAAATGACTAAAAACATCTGTAGAAATCATCATTAAACCAAAAAGTTTTATTTCTTAATTACAGAACATTTAATCATCTTACTGTTCATCTGCCATCACTAGAACTGGTGCTCATTCATCAAGTTACTTATTAGTGTATTAGTGTAATTCTTAAACTACATCTAATCCACTATTCTACATTTACTGAAGACACATATCAAGCCGAGATTTGGCATGAATTAAGATGGAGTTTCGAATATTTCTTTCTACAGTTCCACAGACGTCTCCAGCACGCTACCCAGATCCTTCAAAGACGGAGGGAGACATTACCATGGAGTTGCAGGTGAGGGTGGTCTGCAGCTTGAAGACCTTGTGCAGCCCAGCAGCCTCAGCCTCAGCCAGCTTCTCCTCCGTCATCTTGACGACGAAGCGCACGGTCGTGTCCGTGTGGTACTCTTTATAGTCGGTGATGAGGGCCGGGACCTTCTCGGTGCCGTTTAGCATGGGCTCCAGCACATTCTCTTTGTAGGTCTGCAAGGGAGACAACAGTGGAGGGATTAAAAGACAAAAATCCACCGAAGAAGCTGTACAAATGAAATTGGGAGGGAACAAAAAGGCAAAAAGATTCAAATTTAGTCTGCATTGGTGGAGAGAACTAGGAGAAATTAAACATGCACAAAATTACTTGTTCACCAGGTGCACATATTCAATTTTCAAATATTTGGATTTGAATTAAAAAAAACAGGGAACATGCACAGCAGATATCCTAGATATACATTACTTCCTGTGAATACTAAAGTTCTTCCACGTGATACGGTGGATAAGCAGCTACTAGAGAAAAATAACTAACATTAATACAAGTCCAAAACATCAGTCTGCTGTAATCTGTAGTTTGGTGCAGATGCAAGGCGCTGGGCTTCTTGAAGCACTAACCTGAGTCCACGTCTTCACTGGCAGCTCCGAGATTTCAACGGTGGTGGAGTCGATAATGGAGACTTCACCGTTGATCACATACTGGTTAGGAAGCAGCTCCTCAATGGTGCCCTTGAAGTTCTTGTAGTTTGGGAGCTATTAAAATGAAGTCGATCAGTAAGTCTGAAAAACTTCCAGATTAAATGTAGACAAAAGGCAAGAACGGCCACGTTTAAAATATGCAAGGAAAAACAAAAACACAGCATCACCTCCCCAGGATGCAATAAGTACAAAGGTTTAAAGTAACCAATCCAATAACGCTATAGTTTTGACAGATGCAGCAGGTGTCGACTATACTGGGTATAACTCAAGACTACAGTTTCATTGTATGCATGAAACCCAAAACGCATGTGAATTCTCAGTTATGTATTTAGGAAACCTTCCTATTTGATTGCACTGAACCAAAAGCAATATCTATTAAGAGAACTTCTGGCTGCTAACAAAAAAACAATCATGGGAAAACGGCACATAAAAGAACCTCCAGCATCTGAACAGCAGGTTGACAGTGAATGAGCTTTACATGATGGAAAAAATGACACCTGCTTCCATTCTACAATAAGAAAGGTTTAGCCAATACTGGTTAACTTGGGGGACAAAAAAATCCAAATTAAGACCTGATTTGACTTTCTGAAGTAAAATAATGAAAGATTTCAGTGTAGACTTTTGTTTCTTTTTGTGTTGTCTTTTGGGTAATGATTAAACTAATGTAGATGTGGACAATTATGTTTCTGCCTTTAACCTCCCTGTTTCAGCTGGCAGAGAGTTAAAAAATGTTCCTGCGAACAAAGAAAAAGCTGGAAGAAGAAAAAAAAACCTTAGCATCATGCACAGTTTACACGTTTCTTCAATAACTGGTCTGAAAAGGGAGAGGAGCCCCGAACCGTCTGTCACGGGGAATACAGTGCGGTTTGGACAGCAGCCCCCCGAGCGCGCTCACCATGGGCAGGGGCTCGTCCCCGTCCAGCAGGCGGCGGATGTTGTTCACGACCTCCCGCACGTCGAAGTTGGGGATGCGGCTGGCCCAGCCCGTGCCGATGCCATCGGCGCCGTTCAGCAGCACCACGGGGATGATGGGGATGTACCACTCGGGCTCCACGCGCTGGTTGTCGTCGTAGTTGTTCTTGAGCAGGTTGTCGTCAACCGGGGGGAAGAGCAAGCGGGCCAGAGGACTGGGGGGAGAGGCAGGTCTCAGACGTTGCGATACCAGCAGTAAGCCATGCCGAGTCATAATGTGAATCAGCCTGTTTGGAAATGTACTTAAACCCCAAAACACCTTTGTTTTATTTTAATACATCCAAAGTAATCAAAATGGCCATTTGCAAGCATTAACTTATTTCCCTGCGGTCGCGGACGTGAAAGGGGAACTGCAGTCCCAGTTTCTCAGACTGATTAAAACTCTGTAACAAAATAAAATAATTGATGGAGTAGAAATCGCAAATTAAGCACAAAATCGCTTTGTGAAACTATTGTACGGTTGTCATTGTTGTCACAAACCCCTAGTCTCGCCACAGGTGAGAACGAGATGTTGTGTGAATTGCACTGCCCTTCCTGCTCACTAGTCACTGTAATGACTAACCTAATGAGGTGTCTGAGTGATCAAGTACAGGTGGTGCAGCAGACATTTCACCGATGTGGTCTGCATGCAGAGTTAACAAGTAGTATTTGCCGGAAAACTGTCTCGAAGTTGAGAGCAATATTTCTATGGGATTAATAGAGATGTTTTCACAAGCCCATTTCTTTACCACGTAACAAGCCTGCTTCACCTCACCAAATGTTCTATTGACTCGTTCTGAATTGCAGAATAAGTCACTGCGTATACCTGGAAATTGTCTATTTTGTGATGCAAACTGGAAGTTTTACAAGTTACTGTGTACATTTTACTTTCATTGTGGTTTGAAATGCCTTCAGTGCTGATTCCTTCTATCCCTGAAATATAAAGACAGCATTGCAGTTCCTCCTTAACGGTTTAGAGCCACCTGCATTTATAGGCATTGACCACCTTAGTCTCATCAATGTACTAAACAGCTATGCAAAAAATGTGCAACATGGTGGTTTCTAACCACTTGAGAAACGTTCCAAGTCACAAAATCACACCGGAAGTGCACAATAGCGTCCACACAGCAGCACTGACCTCAGCATGGTAAAGATGTATCGAGGACTGGCAGCATCTTTGCCACCATGCAGCCTTGTACCAAACTGCCCGAGGGGCTGCAGGAGGTTAAGGTTGTTGCTGCCGACAAAGTTCTGAGCCAGGGTGATGATGGTCATCATCAGGGACATCTATGAAGACAGCAGCAAAAGCCAATATACAAGGGGTCAGCCTGGGGTTTGATGTCACGATGCATGATATTCCTCAAAGGGACTTCACAAATGCCAGCCGGTTGAGCTGCACTGCAATCTAAATTATGCATCTGCTCTCTTGAAGGATGCAGGACACGCAATGACCTTTACATTATGACCCAGAAACCTTCACAAAATCAGAGAATTCTCCTAAATAACCCTCATGGAAAAGAGAAAAGATCTGGACATCACAAGGGAATTTCTCCCTTGCAGCGTCGTTTCTGTCCTCAGGTTGTGTTTTTTCAGTGGAAAACATGAGAACCACAGGGCCCCGGGAGGGACCCGAGCCAGCTGCGTCAGGGCTGAGGGTGTTCAAGGCTGAGTAGAAGTTCAGTCTGCAGGAGCTTTTCGCAAAAACTTGCTCAAGTTTTTTTTTGTCCAAACAGGAATCAAAGCTCAGATCAGGTAGTTTTTTTTGTTATGCACTGCAGTACAGTTAAGAGTGAAGTACAGCCTGGTGGTACAGAAAAATGCCATGTGGTATAAAGCACGCCATGTTCCACTCACCTCACCGTGGTGATAGGCAGATGTCTCGGCCACAGAGCCCGCCAGCTGAGCCACCTTCACCTCTCGTTTGTCATTCCTCTTGAAGCAGGTGAACAGCACCTTCCTCTGGCCCGGTTTCAGGCCTGGGAGACACATGGTGGTTAAGAGATGCAAAGGGCTGGTTTATAAAAATTGATTGGCATCACTAAGTATGAACCACAGAGTATTTGGTCCCATTTTAGACCTAGTATCCCAACAGAAGAAAGTACAGGCAGTGAAGCAGACAGCAGCTCCCTCAGACTCCTCTTGACAGTGATGGAGAAACGAGATCCACCAGGCTGCTTTCCAACTTACCATCCACCAGACTGGGAATGGACCTCTCGTTGTCCGAGTTGGAGAACAGGACCAGCTCTTTGTTGATGAATTCATTGTATGTCAAGTATTGGGTGGTCTTCCCATACAGGTAATCCTGCGAGAGACGGATGCTCTGTTAATTGTGGTTGGGGGGCCCAGAATAGGGATGGGGTGACAATTTTAAAAACAGTCTGCAGCCAAACCAAATGCCAAACCCAAAAACAAATGGTGTCCTGACCCATATTTTCTGGTGCTGAAAATAAGTGCAGAACTTCAGATGCAGCAACTACAAATGTGAAATTCATGCTCACCCTTCACTTAAGCAAACCTCTGAAATGCTGAGTGCTCTTAAAGGGGAGAACAATTACGTATGTGACAGCTGTGCATGCAGCTCTACATCATAAGGGTTTAGTCTCTTAGGGTGCACTGGGCTGGAGCCCGCGGCCTGCAAGTGAACCAGACCAACGGATGGAAAGGGGCAGACGTTTGCTGAGCAAAGTTTCTCAACAGAAACCAGCAAAACCATTACACACCTTCTGAGAAACAGAGCCACAGAGCTTAGTTACTCAGTGCTCCAATACCATCGTTCTTAATGTTCCTACATTACATCTTAATTAAAAAATTTTTCAATGGAAAGATAACACTTTATACAGTGGATTAATGAAACAGTCGAAAGATAACGGACTTTCCCCCCCCATGCCAAGACTCGTACACGCAGCAATCATGCGTCATACAGCTTCAAATGGTCAACACAAGGAACCAAGTATTTTAAAAAGTTGATCTCGAGACAATCGGGGGCTGAAAACGTCATTAACGAAAGCGTGTTTCTCACCTCCTGCAAGCCGTGCTGTCTCCGCTGTCGGCGGTCCGCCATGAATCTCGTAAGCCACTCTTTGCGTTCGTCAACCTTCTTCTTACTAAAGGCCTACGAGAAATCAGTGTGTGACACAGAGACATTTCCCCCAGTCTACCCAGCTACACTCTTCCCTAATGCCCAAAATGAGCACATGATGATTTGGATCTGACAACTGTTTCAGTTCGAAAAATTTCACTAGCAAGCAAAAAGGGCACTTAAGCAAGAGAAAACAACGACATGATAGTGGGGACCAGTAGGGGGCGCTCACCCCGAGGTCTGTGTGGGTCTATAGGTCTAATGCCACAGTATAGTGACGGGGACATTATACTGTAAAAAGATGCCATCCTTTGGATGAGACATAAAACTAAGGTCCTGACTCTTTGAGGTCATTAAAAATCCGAGGGCTTTTTCTCAAAAAGTGTAAGGGTGTCACCCCAGTGTCCTGGCCAAATTTCCCCCTGGATCTTACCAATTATGGCCTCCCAATAATCCTCATCTATGAATTGGAGTGGCCACAAAAGCGCTATATAAGTGTGAGGATCACTGATATACAAGTAAAATAGAATAGAGCTGCTGATCTTTGAAACCCCCCGTGCAACATGTATATATTTTATTGTGTATCAATAGGGTCAGTCAGTCCTCTTCAAACGTGCTCACCAGGGTGATTGCCTCGTCATCGGCAGGACCAGCATACTTGAAGGGGATTCGATGTCTTTCCATGTCGGCAAAGTATTCCTTTGCCTCCTTAGAAGTGCTGGTACCCAGACCTGTAGAGAAGACACAAGGGGGTCTCAGTGACAGATCCAGAGATCACCACCCTGGGTCGATAGCAAGATGGCGGATCTGCACTGTTCCTGCAAATCTGAAAAGTGCAGAAAAAGTAGGGTACAAAAACCTAGGCTTCTGAAGAGAAACTTGAATTTTAAAAGATGAAGAAACTCCTCAGCATGTTTGAAGACTCTCTGTACAGGAGGATTACAGAAGGTTATGGGAACTAAGCTGTTCAACCTTTTCACTTACAATAATAAACCTTTCAGAAAAGCCTGCAAGAACATGAAACGATGAAGTATGTGTGGTTGAAAACACGGGTTTGAACTGCCCCACAGGCTGATCTCAGCCCTCAAATGCTCTAACCATATTAACACCCAGCACAGGAAAACTGAACACCAAGGGTCCCCCACAGTCTCACCATGAAGAAGAAACCAAAATTTCCAAGAGTGCTGAAAGACCTGGTCCAAGACACAGCTTAAACCACCTTCCATACAATTAAATTGAAGAGATATGAATAGGTTTAAAATGGATTTCCAGCAATTCTGTAAAAGGGCTGCTTACTTTGCCAGCTGCACTACCACAGGTGTTTACAACAAACCTTTGTAGTACTTTATTTTCCAGGATTTGAGGTTAGACTGGCTTTCCTTCCATTCATTAAATTCGGGGATGCTGTAAAAGCACAGTTCTTGCTTCTTGTTGGATGCCTAGTGGGGGCAGAAGTTGAAGAGAATAAGTGTATGGTCTTTGGACATTTTGGTCACTACAAGGTTTCAGAAAAAAAATGAGATTTCAACTGAAATAGTCTTTTCCCAAAAAGTATCAAACTTCCCAAAGGTAGGTTTAGTCTCACTTCTGTAAGTATCACCTATGAACATATACAAGAGTATAGAATCATATGCTTTTTAGGTTCCCCAATGCAGTAAATATATTGCTTAAAAAGAATGATTAGCCTAGTTTATACTTTAAACCAACTTAACACAACTACTAGTAGTAAACTAATGTGTGATAATTATTTACATCCATCTTTCCTTCAAAGAACAGTCAACATTGATTGTGTTAACAAAACATCAATTTACAAAGAAATATGATCAATATCTATAAACTGAAGTGGTGGCCCACTGAAAAAAATACCTTGATGATGGGGGTGATGAACTCCTCCAGGAAGTTGTGCCTAAGCAGAGAGGGCCAGTTGTGGTGAATGAAGTTAATCAGGAGTCCCTTGATGTGAGACCCATCTTGATCCTGGTTGGCAAAGGGAAGGAAAACAATATACATCACCCCTGGAAACTTCATATGACACTATATTATATATATAACATATATATTGCACTGCTGCCAGGAATACAGCTCTCCAGGCTGGTCTGCCATTACACTTTCTGATGAAAGACATCTGCTTAATCAATCAGACTCTTTCATGGTCCGATTTGACGGTCACAATTTTTAATTCACATTTTTAACACTAAGTCACTTGAAGAAATGGCATTCACCAGTCTGAGAAATATATTCGAACCTCAAATGTTTCTTAATTTTAGGCTACTATTTTTCCCCGTTATGTTCCGATGTATATTCCCTTTTCCATCAGGTCAGTGTGCATCAACACCACATTAGGAGTACAAGTTACTTCGCAATAAAATGTAACGGCTGTACTATGGGAAATGTCTCTTCTGTTCCACAGCCCTACATAAGAATGGGCTTCCACTGCACCCATCCTACCAAGCTCCATTAGAAAAGCTGTGAAGGAAACTGACCCGCAGGAATGATTCTGGCACAGCTGGTCTATATACACTGAAAGTCCCACAGGACTAAATCCAAACTAAACTTAGGACTGAAATAGGAAATACCAGCTAAAATCAGCACCTTGTCCACAGTCCTCTTAGTTGGAACAGAGGTCACAGTTATTACCAAAGGGTTTTGCTAAAAGTGGTGGGAGAAAGAAGCAGCAAACAGTGTTCCGTCACAGCACAGACCTGATCTGTCATGATCATGATCTTCCCATAGCGCAGGGTCTTCAGAGACTCGGCATCACTGTAGTTCTTCTTGTACTGCAGCCCGACAATCTTGATGATATTGTTGATCTCTGCATTGTCCATAATCTACGGAAGGCACACAAGCATAAAGAATTTAACTCCTCAGTGATAAGATACTGAAATACATTTTTTTTAGTACTTTCAATATTAGTCTGATCTATTTCAACCGATTATGCTATTGCTATTTAAAAACAGTAATTCCAGTTCACCGTATCCCCTTCTGGAAATCGTGAGCCAGTAATTTCTCACATTAATGTGCGTTTAGCATAGTCTGCTGCACTTACAGAAATCGTGTAACTACAGAAGCGACCAAATGACATTTCCAGATCCCTAGCCCCAAGTGCAAGCAAGAACTCAGACATCAAACTGATGTGCATGATATTTCCTAAATGTCAGCAAGACGTGATTAACAGCAAGAATGAAATGCGAACGTTTCAAAGTCTGAAGGTTAAAACAATTCTACTGTTTGATACAGTTAGATCCTAGGCGCCACAGCACTTGGTTAGCTCAAGTGTTAGTTTGAAAAGCCATTAAGATCTACTAAAAGATGATGCATACGAAAATCCAATTGCCTAATGAATCGTCTTTAGGACACAGTGCTGTACATGCGTTCTTAATTCAAAGATTTACTCAAAACAAAACCTTCCTTTGCTCTCAGGAAAGTCTGGAAGCAACTCTGACTATGATACGAAGGATTACAGAAATGAATTCATGAGTTAAACCTCCAACAGCACTTTTTAAAAAAACCCGTCTGATATGCAGAAATCTGCGCAGTGAGCTCCTTGCTGGTCCCGGCTGCCCGAGGCCTACCTGTTTGTGCGAAGCCTCCCGCACGTTGAGCATCTTCCCCCGGAGGGGGAACACCCCGTAGCGGTCTCTCCCAACCACGCCCAGCCCAGACACCGCCAGCGTCTTGGCCGAGTCTCCTTCGGTCAGGATCAGGGTGCACATGTTCGAGTTCTTACCCCCTGGGGGAGAAAAAATGATTCACACTATTGAGAGCTTTTGTGGAAACCTTCAGTATTCTAGTGCCTATTAATATTGAGAGAAAAATAATCAATCCTGCTGGATAACTTCAAAAGCACCATTTGACCACTCATGGCTTTAAGCTTCATACAGCAGGGCAGTAATTCTGAATAACCAAGATAAGATTCTTACTCCAGAACGTTTTATGTTCCTGGCCTTGTTGTTACAATGCTTTTGCCCACTTTAAATGCTATGGGTTTTAAATACCTTATGTATTTTTAAACACCTACTGGAGCCACAACTCAGGTCCTCACAGTCAGCCAGAGAGCAAGCTTCTTTCTCCACTGGCCTCCCTGCAGCAGGGCGCTAAGTCTGGCTACTACAGCAGTGCAGTTTACCTGCATCGTTGGCATCATCCAACTTGGGGACCCCCTTGATCTTGGTGTGCTTGACAGCAGAGCACTTCTTATTGAGCTGAGTCTGAGCCTTGAACTTCACCCAGTTCATGACGCTCTCCACAACCCCACAGGAGGTGGCCTGCAACACACACAGGAGACAGGGAAATGAACCACACCTGCAGGATGCCCATAAGCTCTGTGTGTACAGTCTAGTGAGGAGTTCAGAGGTCATAACCACACGTTTAATTAGAACTTGACTGCAGGAGTAAAAAAAACAAACAAACAATGAAAGGGATCTAAATAAAATACAGGAAGAGAAGATCAAGGTTTCATTCTTTCATTTTCATCTAAGTCACTGGGATGTGAGATTTAGGTTTTAGTCTTCCACATAGGTCAAGTAAATATATGCATTGAGCCATTCTTCAGGAGCTTATATGGGAAACAAGAACTCCCCTCGGAGAACTTAATACAGCAGCTCAGCCCACAGTCCAGGAAACAAACTCACGGCCTTGATGAACTTCTCGGTGAGCGGACACGTGGAGCCAAAGCTCTTCTGCTGCAGGGTCATGTTCTCCTTGGTCTGGGAGTCAAAGGTGGGGTTCTCAATCAGGCAGTTCACAAACAACCAGATGTGGTTCTTCACCTGCAGGGCAAAAACACCATGGGAGCCAGCAGGCACAGAACGAACCCTCCTAAAGGATTCACTGCCTGCAACCATCCTATAGTCAAACCATCGCAAGTCTCCGAGCTTCGCGTTTGGATGGCAACCTCAGAAAGTAGTAACAGAAGTCAAAGGAAGATTAAATTCCAGTTTAAAGTCCTCTGACCTACCTGGAAGGGCTTCACTGTGACACCAGCCTTGTTCTTCTTCTTGACAACTTCGATGAGCTTGCCGACAATCTGGTCTGCCACGTAGTCGACGTGCCTGCCACCCTAACAAGAAAGCAGAACCAATACGCTGACAGGAAGTCCCACATTCACTGGAACAGTGTTATACCCGAAGAGGCACGAGTTACCCAACATGCCAGTAACACAAAACGAACCAGACCGCAAACTAAGGGGAGGCCGTGGAGTCACCTTGGTAGTGGCGATGCCGTTGACGAAGCTGACTTGCTGGAAGCCCTTCTCGCTCATGGTCATGCACACCTCCCAGCGCCCGTTCACCACCTCGTGGATGACCTTCAGCGGGATGCCCAGCTCGTCCACCTTGTCCTTCACGTACAGATCCACGTAGCTGCGGAAGCCATTCACCTGCAGGCCGGGAAAGAAAGAGGACTAAGGGTCAAAAACGCACAAAAAAACATCTTTGTAGTGTATAATTAAGAGACTACATTTTAGTACACCTAATTAGCCAGGTAGGCTTTATTTCCAAACCACAACTGAGAATACATACTGTTACAACAAATCAACAGAGAACACTGTTTGGACATGCAGTGGTCCAAGAATCGCCCATTGCAATTAATAGTGCACATTCTTCTCTCATAAGAACAGGGATTTGAGAAGAATTTTCTCTCTTAAAACGTACATTTTCTAGGTTATCAACGGCTAGACACTGATATAATATTCACAAATACAGACAAAACACATTCCTCTAAAATATTTACAGATGCAAGCAACTGCCTGGTGAGGCACTTGCTACAGAAGCAGACAGTGCAATACGAACCGACAGCTTCTGTCCATTGAGGAAGACTTTGACCCCCGCGGTGGAGCCGGCCACGTCGTACGCCCTCCTGGACATCAGGGCCACCGTGTCCTTGTCCAGAGACTGCATCTTGAACTTGGCCAGGTCCGGCTGGAAGGTGATGCAGGTGAACTCCTCCCCGTCAAAGGCCCTGATCTTCGCCTCGCCCGCGCGGCCCATGTTATCGTACCACGTCTGCGAAGCAGCGGGAGACGAGGAGAGGAGGGAGATCAGTGCTCGTGTCGCAGCAAGACTGAGCACCTGTTTGCAGGACAGTGGAGAGCTGAACCTCTTACAACACTTTTACCATTACAGGGGTGTCTACAGTCCACTCTGACATGAGTGACTACTGGGGGTGACAGTTATTCTTGCTGTGGATATTGAGAACAGTTTAATTGCAATAGTAAGTGTCTGACTCTATACATTATATAGTGAGAAACACCAACAGGAACTGATGTCAAAGCAATTCAAACCATTACGCAAACAATTTCCACAAAACTTAATTGCAGGCTTAAAACAATGACATTCCCCCCCCCAACATGCTGTTACAAAAAACAAGAACTTTTTGATGCACCTAAACTGACCGGACTGGGATGAGCTCAGCAGGAAGAACCTTCACTAACTTCATCACTTCACCATTTAAACAAGAACCCCTGATCAAATTCTTCATTTTTTAACCGATAAACTGTAAAATCAAAAGGATCCCACCACCATGTTATTTATCATGAAATATGATGTCTCTCCATCACATTTTCCAACATCTGTACAGTACTTCACCCCAACCTCCAAAGTGCCCTACCTGTTTAAAACACTTCCTGGACTCATGACAGGCTGTCTCCACAGTGAACTTGGTGCTGAAAATATTACACAGCTTGGCACCATATCCATTTCGTCCACCTAGAAAACCAGCAAATGACAAGCTTGAGATTATGACTTTAATGTCTCAGAATTTCGCAACACACAAACTAGATTAGGGTGAAGTGGGGTTATAATTATTCTTCCGACAACCACACTAACAATGCATGTATAACGCCAAGTACAATCATGATTCATTTACAGCGGTCAGCCTTGGCATCCGGTCATTCAAGCCTAATGGATGCCTGCTTCTATCACTGCTAATGGCTTGAAGATTCGCCCCCGCCTGCTTCAGGTGCAGTGCCAGTCAGTCTTCAACACTTCGCGCTTGGCTGTGGTGGACGAGGGGCCAAGAGGTTTGAGGTTCTCGTCTTAGTATTGGAGCACACATGCAAACAAGCATCTCACTGCACTTGAGCATGTGACAAATAACCTGAACTGAGCTGAGCTGAGCTCGGCTGGCCTTACCAGTGACTTTCTTCTGGTCGTCGTTGTAGTTGCTGGATGTGAGCAGCTGTCCAAAGATCAGGGCCGGCACGAACACTTTCTCCACTTTGTGCTCGACCACAGGAATGCCCTTCCCGTTGTTCCACACGCTGATGGCATTATTCTCACTGGCGACAAAGTCCACACAGAGAGATCCCAAGTAAATACCCAGCCGCCCTGACCATATGCAATAAGATGTTTGTCCCTATAAAGATGGTTCCAATTGCTCCTGAAATTGTATTCTCAAGGAAGCACAGCTTCCCTAACAAACATTTTGATCCAGGTGATATAAAGGATTTCCGAGAGTCAGTGACACTCAAGTGATTTTTTAGAGGTGTGTCATTGATAATTGTTTCCATAATAATGTACTAGTGTAGGAATAAGTGTAGTGGTGGATTACAGGGCAAGTATGTGACTAAGGCAGGGTTTGCGAAGCCCAGTGGCTTTTGATTTTTCCTCCAATTAAGTCATTTACTGTTAAATGATCCAGGGATTTATTTAACTTGAGCTTTTTCATGGTTTTCAGTTCCGAAACCACAATAAAATAAAGTATCTACATTTGAAAAAAACACTCTAGGTACTGAAATGTTAAAATGTTAACGCTAAACTGTCGACTCGATTGCACCCTTGACTATATTCTAGAACATCACTCACGGGTCAATGTTGATCTTGATGCAGGACATCTTCTTATCCCGCTGTTTGTTATCTGCAGCATTCACTGGAGAAAAACAAGATCTTAGATTTAGGCTTTTACTTATTTTTCAAACAGAAGAACAGATTTTCTAGCTCAATTTTCAATAATCTTGAAAAGCTGTGTTTAATACTGTTGATCATTAATATGCACAGAGTCAAAAGGATCCATGGAAATATCCTCTTACGGCAATGTTAGAAAACAAATACACACCGTCCATTATCCTGTGGCGCTATGAAAAAGATCAATGGCTCAATGCTGTATGGTATAACAATGTCCGGAAGAGAGACACATCTTTGTCAATTAAGCACAAATTATTACAGCAGAAGGCTACTCTGACACCACCTCACATTATTGATTAGTACCTACCAAGGATTTCATCAAAGATCTTGTACAAGCCAGGAACAAAAGTCACATCTCTGCAGTTCATTCCGATTTCTTCATCCATCACCCACATTTGCTAGAAAAAAAAGGCCATCAAAACTTAGCTATCTATTGTGGAACATCAAACTGGGGCTCTTCAACAAGATTTCAGTGTGAGCTGATTGTTAGTTGACTGGTGCCACAGCCTTCATTCAATGCAGTAACATTGCAAAGCATGTCGGAACTCTGCATTAGGAAACATACTAGAAACTAGGGAATCCACCATAGGCTGCATTTCTTACTGGACTGTCCAACTACAGCAGGTTCTCAACATCCACAAGGGTTCAGTGCAGAGAACCATCACAAACAACCAAACTGACATATAACCAAGTGCACCCCTTGTACCATTGCATAATGTACTACAGTTTAGAGTACACATGGCGAAAAGATATGAGACACCCTCCCTTAAATGATCACGAAAGTATTAACGCACTAGCTTTGAGTTGACAAAAATAACATTCATCCACTAAAACGGGGTAATAAACAGCATGAATCCAGCCTCCGCCTGCACTTTCCCGGATATATAAAGAGCTGCCACACTGCAAACTGCATGGCCAGGTGCCTGCCCGCCTGTGTCACAAGTGCTCACCTGTGTCACGGGCTCCACAGACCCGATGTAGGTGTCGGGACGGAGCAGAATGTGCTCCAACTGTGTCTTCTTCTGGTAGATCCTCTCCACAGACAGACGCTTATCATCCTTCGCCTTGCTCACAGGCTTGTTCTCAAACATCGTCTACAGGGGACACAAAAGGGCAAGAGGTGGGCGACAGCAATTTGGCTTTACAAACGCGCCCTGTGGACTGGTATTTAGAATCCCCCGTCTGGGAGAGCCACTGTCCAGCGGGATTTAAAGATCCACAGCAGGGAAAAGTTCTTGCAAAAGAGCTTAAATGAAGCCAATAATCAGTTCAATTGTATTATTAATAGGTGCGCTGGAATGAAAACCAGCCCTGCAGAGGTGAAGTTCGGTTTACCGTTTAGCTCATGCCATCAAGGAGTCTGAAACGGTTTTTAACTTCCCACAGGAAAAGTGCTGCATGAAATGATTGTGCCTTACTCTGGTGTCGTAAGAGAAGAAAGCGATGCGTGTCAATGCCACAGGCGGTAGGGATTTAAAAAGATTTAGGGGGACGGGACGGACTGAAGTTCGGCTCGCTGCCACCAGATTGTAAACTTGACCAAAAAAAAAAGTTAACGGACAACGCTCTTCCGCCCCGCTCGTCCCAGACCGAAGCACTTAACATTTGCAAGTGTAAATAGTCTTTCGTTTCTGTACACAAGAAAGACTAGACATCCCATGTAGCAGCAGCGTTCTATTTAGTCAAACCCCACAATATTTACCCCCAAAATTTATAATTGAAATATCTCGGAAAATTCTTCGTCCCAGATACAATGCCTGTCACTGTGGTAATTAAGAAAGGTTATCAAAACGCCGAACTCTACTTTCCTTGGTTCCGCTGGGACAGTAAGATGAGAACTGGTCAATAATTCAGTTCTTGCAGCCGAATAAGTAAAGCAGAAATCACGGAATCGTAGTTTTAGGGAAATCGAGGTAGGATGACCGTCAGGGGGCATGACAAACTGAGTCCAGTTCTCGCCATTTTGTAAGCACTTCAACGACCTGGGGACATTCACGATCTGAAATCTGATTTTCATACCCATCACCGGCTGCGATCGCAGGCTGCACGCAAACAGGACAATTCACCCTCGCCAGAAAAGAAAAAAGAAAAGATGTCCCAAGACGAAATCGAAAGCACTTATCTGGAAAACTTTACATTAAAATAATATTTTAGCATTGGAGGAGTGGAATGCGGTCATAAATCCAGTTTTTTACTGTTCTGATTGTTTTCATAATCCCAGATTAAAAACTCCCCCCACCCCGCAAGTCTTTTTGCCTTACATAACGGTTTTGAACATGAATGTAAAACCGTGTTTATTAGCCCAAATGAAATAGAATTGTTTAATCGTGCACAGACGAGGAAAGAAACAAGTATATAATATTTTCAAGTAAGCATTCGGCTCCAGATTTCGGTTTTCCCTCCACAGATACCACCCGCATGCTCGTCGACATTAACCTTACCTTCAGCGTTCCTTCAGAGGCCATTTCTTAACTATTCGAGCGGTATTACAACCTATATAAAACAGAGAATGGCTGTTTTACTAAAACAGATGAATAAAGCTAAAAATATCAACGCTAACAAAACCCTCTCAACCGAACCTAGCACTACACTTTAAACCTCTACAGAATAACACTGACTACCACAACCGACAAAGAGCCAACCCTTCACCGAACTGCATTTTCAAATTTAAAAATACGTTTACATTGCGCTTCAAAGATTGACCAATCAGATCCCGCGAAGCCTACTGACTTCCGTTTGAAATTGTTTTTTTTTCGTGGCTGTTTCCGCTCAAGTGCTGTCATTGACCAATCACAGGACACAGCAACATGTTCTTCGTCTCACATTGGTTATCGTGGACAGGACGGGGCGGTGCGTCGCAAGTTGAAATAGCCAATCACATCAAGAGAGGAGAGTAACCAGCATTGGTTTCGCGCTGAATCGTAGGTTTAATAATCTTTAAGCAGCTGTAGGGTTTTTTTTTAATAGCTTTGATCCAAAATGCACTACGAATGTGCAAAGCTGGACTTTAAACGTTGTTGTTATAAGATTTTTATTTTATTTGTGCAGTTATGTATCCGTACTTTAAACTGTATGCAGTAACGCTGTATGTAAAAAGACTTCCCCCGAATACAGGACTCTATATTATGACTCCATGTGGAAACCTCTCTGGAGCTTGAGAACACGTTATTTGCCGCGGCAGGACCAGCTCGCTAG